TTTTTTTTTACTCCAAAAATAGTTAATTCCACTATTTACGTATATTTTATTACAAAAGTTAATGATAAGTTCTTTGATAGTAGTCAAGGAACTTGTTAAACGCACTAAAAGATTGTTTGTAGAACACTTACAAATGTTTTCACTTTTTTTGTAGTTAAGGTAACAATGCATAGTAGTGACTTTCAAATGTACGGATGAGGCCTTAAGCTGTGATTTGTTTACAATACCACCATCAAATTGTTGGCTTCTTTGTCGGCTGGTACAAACACAAACTGCTTTGAAAGTACTTAAAGTTTGTTTCTTATTCTAGAAATAGGAGTATTATGTACTGTTTTATTCATTTATGAATTGTTTCCAAATGTATTATTCGAATATCCACAAGATTCATACATTTATCTAGATAAGAATTGAAAGATTTTTTCGCAGATTTTCCCTGTTTACGCCAATTTTTACAATACGATAAAAGAGCGTTTTATGTGACCTGACGACACTGTTTTTCAATCTTTTTTAGATGGAGGACGATGCTTTTGTCCTTTTTTCAAAAAGTTTTTTACTTCTCGGTGTTGAACGATATTGAGGTTCCCCGTAATAACAGGGTCATAGGGGTCATATCTTAAATTCGACGATCCACAGTTTCAAGTTAGAGGAGTAATATTTTTTACATTCACGTCTGATGTTACTGACTTATGATCAAAATTAGACTTCTGGTGCATGTTTTGTATTTATACGAAATAAAAGGTATTTCTGTGTTATAACGATAGGGAGGTATACAGTTTTGAATGGTAGAGTCGTTGAATATACTCGACAAGGTGATAAAAGCAATACCTCTGTTAATATATTTTATTTTTAGAAAGTGACGTTTATAATCTTCAGGTTTATCGATACGCAGAAACAACCTATGATGTCAAAATAAGGTAAGCACGGTTCCCTTAATGGTCTCGTACTTGGTTTTTTTTAACTACCTTCATGCATAGGAAATACTGGCGTCTGACGGTGTTTGCGGTAGGTGGTGGGGGTCCCTGATGTCTTCGTCGATTATCAAGCAAAGAGTTAGGCATCCGACTAGCCCTTATTGAATTATCCTTAGCATGGGTTCTTTAAGTTCTTGGAACAGATTTAGAATGATTAAGAAGAATTATTCTAACGATTGATTGATTGATTGATTGTTGGTGTTTTAACGCCACTTTTTAGCGCAACTTTAAGGCTATTTCGTGGCGGTTAGTTTTTATAGGTGGAGGAAACCGGAGTGCCCGGAGAAAACCATCGACCTTCGATAGAAAAAATGACAATCCTAGTCAATTAAGATTGGAGTCGAGTGTACCGGCACGAGCGGGGTTTGAACTCACAACCTCAGTGTTGACTGGCTAGTAATTTCAGTAGTAGAACTACTTGTACCACTTGGTCACCGAGGCCCCCTGTTCAAACGAAAATAATATTACATTATATTGAAACTAAAGCCTTCCACATTCAAATTAATTCATTTCAGCTCAAGATACTATTAAAAGATAGGAGAATTTGTAAAACTGCAAACATTAAATATTTTTCGTAATTCTTATAGAATCTTTGATATTCAAATTCCATCTGATATGAAGCGCGTTCCGACATTCATATTAAAAATTTGCGTATTATCAATGCTTTTACAACACAATAACATTATTAAAAGAAGTATTTAACTATGAAATTTAAGTTATATCAAACTATAAGTTTATCACTTCGACGGAAAGTTTTAGAAAAATGTAAAATAAATATTTTTCACTAAAATTTTTTATATATTTTTTTTTCTTTCGTTTTATACATCATGTTGACAATACTCTTAAGTCATATTAGTTTTAGATATATTGTATTTCAAAGTATCGCTTGATTCTTATATTTGTATATATTTTGTGCAATTTGTCTGATAAGCCAAATTGATATGGCTGGGTATTTTTTAATGTTATTGTATAATATGTATGTCAATCAATATGTGACACAATAATAAAATAGATTATCATTTTTTTTTTTATATTATTGCCAATATAGTTTATATCTGATTTATTTAAAGTAACTTTTCGTGGGTAAATTTCGGTAGAATATTTAGAAATCTTTTATTATTCATATTATTTAACCATGTTAACGAAACAATATCATGAAGATTACGGTATTTTTGTTGAATTTATTAATTAAATGCAATCTAGACGGGTCTTTACTGTGTTTGGGCATAAACTGTGATTCATAACAGTACATACACAAGTCTCTTATTAAAGAGGTACAATTGGTGCCAATAGGAATGACAACAACCTGTCGATAACGTTATTACAGAAACATGAGAAACGTACAATTAAGATAATCTAGGAGAAAATTAACAGCTTTTATCATATAATCACATTTGCAGTAAGTATACCTAGCATATTTACCTTTCTCATTAGAGAAGAACGTTTTGAATGAGTTTCATCAAATATATAGACTTACCAAACGACCAATTAATTAAATAGGAACACTTTTGTTTGATAAGGTGGTGTGGACGTGTAATGTAAAGAGTTGAAATGTCAAAACTGTTACCAGAATCAAAAGAACCATCAAAAGCACGTAGTTTATCTTAAACATTCAAATGATTTTTTTTTACTCCAAAAATAGTTAATTCCACTATTTACGTATATTTTATTACAAAAGTTAATGATAAGTTCTTTGATAGTAGTCAAGGAACTTGTTAAACGCACTAAAAGATTGTTTGTAGAACACTTACAAATGTTTTCACTTTTTTTTGTAGTTAAGGTAACAATGCATAGTAGTGACTTTCAAATGTACGGATGAGGCCTTAAGCTGTGATTTGTTTACAATACCACCATCAAATTGTTGGCTTCTTTGTCGGCTGGTACAAACACAAACTGCTTTGAAAGTACTTAAAGTTTGTTTCTTATTCTAGAAATAGGAGTATTATGTACTGTTTTATTCATTTATGAATTGTTTCCAAATGTATTATTCGAATATCCACAAGATTCATACATTTATCTAGATAAGAATTGAAAGATTTTTTCGCAGATTTTCCCTGTTTACGCCAATTTTTACAATACGATAAAAGAGCGTTTTATGTGACCTGACGACACTGTTTTTCAATCTTTTTTAGATGGAGGACGATGCTTTTGTCCTTTTTTCAAAAAGTTTTTTACTTCTCGGTGTTGAACGATATTGAGGTTCCCCGTAATAACAGGGTCATAGGGGTCATATCTTAAATTCGACGATCCACAGTTTCAAGTTAGAGGAGTAATATTTTTTACATTCACGTCTGATGTTACTGACTTATGATCAAAATTAGACTTCTGGTGCATGTTTTGTATTTATACGAAATAAAAGGTATTTCTGTGTTATAACGATAGGGAGGTATACAGTTTTGAATGGTAGAGTCGTTGAATATACTCGACAAGGTGATAAAAGCAATACCTCTGTTAATATATTTTATTTTTAGAAAGTGACGTTTATAATCTTCAGGTTTATCGATACGCAGAAACAACCTATGATGGCAAAATAAGGTAAGCACGGTTCCCTTAATGGTCTCGTACTTGGTTTTTTTTAACTACCTTCATGCATAGGAAAAACTGGCGTCTGACGGTGTTTGCGGTAGGTGGTGGGGGTCCCTGATGTCTTCGTCGATTATCAAGCAAAGAGTTAGGCATCCGACTAGCCCTTATTGAATTATCCTTAGCATGGGTTCTTTAAGTTCTTGGAACAGATTTAGAATGATTAAGAAGAATTATTCTAACGATTGATTGATTGATTGATTGTTGGTGTTTTAACGCCACTTTTTAGCGCAACTTTAAGGCTATTTCGTGGCGGTTAGTTTTTATAGGTGGAGGAAACCGGAGTGCCCGGAGAAAACCATCGACCTTCGATAGAAAAAATGACAATCCTAGTCAATTAAGATTGGAGTCGAGTGTACCGGCACGAGCGGGGTTTGAACTCACAACCTCAGTGTTGACTGGCTAGTAATTTCAGTAGTAGAACTACTTGTACCACTTGGTCACCGAGGCCCCCTGTTCAAACGAAAATAATATTACATTATATTGAAACTAAAGCCTTCCACATTCAAATTAATTCATTTCAGCTCAAGATACTATTAAAAGATAGGAGAATTTGTAAAACTGCAAACATTAAATATTTTTCGTAATTCTTATAGAATCTTTGATATTCAAATTCCATCTGATATGAAGCGCGTTCCGACATTCATATTAAAAATTTGCGTATTATCAATGCTTTTACAACACAATAACATTATTAAAAGAAGTATTTAACTATGAAATTTAAGTTATATCAAACTATAAGTTTATCATTCAATGATTCTTATATGATTTGCCTTTTAGTAAACACGTTTATATAACTGGTCGAGAGGGCTTCCAACAGTGGCTCTTGAAGTTACTTATTTTTCGTTCGACGATATTGACGGAACTGCTTTTTGTATCTTATGTTAACAAGATGGCGGTGATTAAGACAGAAAGCGGGTCGACGTTGAAAATATTTATTTTCAGTTCGTGCTCATCGGCAAATCAAATAATTACACAAAAACTTTCATTTTGATGAAAGTAATACACTTTGTAATTTATTTGTCTATCAGATAGCAAATTTCATTGAGTACTAGTATATTTTTTGCGTTAACCAAAAGATATAGTCATGCGCCTTGCCATTTCAATGACACAAATGTACAATTTATGTGTGATAGAGGTTACGAGTGGAGAAATTGAATTCCTTCGAAGTTTATTGTTGTCTACTCCTTCTGCCTTTAATTTTTTTTTAGTGAATTGGTCCATTTTATACACCAATGAATTCCTTTAAAAACGTTCAATCACATAATGTACTATCTCAAAATAGTCAAGGATAGCAAGTGCAGTGTCATAGGTGTTGTATTTTATACGGAAATATAATGATATATGAGTGCCTCGCAATTGTTGTAAGCCAATTAAAATCACGGATTCTAATGAAACAGATATGTAATTTAATTACTAAAATATAAGTATCCAGATAAAATAAAGTCAAAGTAGATATACGTTATTGATCGACTGAGGAAGTATTTCATTTGACATCAGATATTACTTTGTAATTATTGATAAGCATTGTTTTCATTCAAAAAGTTACATCGTACAACACAGACAGAAAAGGTTGGTAAAATATGATCATTTCATTGTTGAAAAGAAAGTGCATTTGAGTTTACTGTACATAATATTTTTAACCTGTTAACCAGAGTCTAAATGTAATCGTCATAACTTCTACACGGCTATATCATTCATCGTTCGATACAAAAATGTGTTAACTGTAAAATTGATTTGGTCGTCAAATGAAAATATGGTGCTATTTTTCAGGAATCAAGATAAAAGGTCACCAACGATTTTCCACAAAAAATATTTGGACATCTAAAACCAAGCTGAAAACCCTTTTTTTCCTTAAGAAAATGGACACAATCATAGAATATTTTCCCAGACGAAACATATGTGAGTTTAAAAAATGGCGGATAGTCTAAATGTATTTTTTTCTCAATTACAGTTCAAAACTACACAAAATGTATTGAAAAATGTGAAAAAAAATATGTGTTCGTTAATATAACTATATATATAATATATCAATGAAAGTGTAAAATTATAATTTTGAGCATTTAGTTCAAATTTGCCAAACTAACAACAAAAACCGCCTGAAAGCTGACTTATATTTAAGATTAAAAAATGTCATGATTTTTTGTATGAAAAGAAATGTACTATTAGGGGCATGAATCAGTATAAAATTTACAAGGCATTGTCATTGTACAAACTTTTTCCGTGTACTAAGTAACTATACATGAATGACCACAAGGGTTAGATTTCATCGGATCGTAATTATAAGATTACAAAAATTGCAACTGGCTATTTTGGTATAAAATGATGTGTCTAAAACAAAATGTTTGTAATTAGTTTTCACATTAGTTTTTATTTATTTTGCTTATAAAATCTATGCAAGGTTTGCAAATTTTGATCATTTAAATAAAGAATATAAAATATGGTACTTTAGACCTTGATTAGAGTAGCACGTTATCCTGTAATTGTTGTAATTTATCATCTGTGCAATTACTTTACACACACAAAAAGTATGTACTATAAATAGTTGTGAAAGGAAATTTTGTAACTTGATGATTATGTTTTTTTTTTTAACTTTCTTAAGGAAATTGCTCAATTTCATCATGAATTTAAAAACTGTCATTACGTCTGAAGGGAAGGTGCCACCTATATTCTGATAAGGCTTTTAGTATATATTTTGAAAAACCCATAATCTTTGATCTATTAGAAGTTGTTATTTAGCTAGACTATCTATGAGGACATGTTTCTATATTTTCGTATTTATTTTATACAATATATTTTACTGTGAAATTACAAAATCTTTTCATACCATGTAAAGCTTCCGCTGCAAGTTTTTGATCAATTCACTTTGTCATCAAAGCATTAAAAGAAGTACATGTAGTAAGACCAATTAAAAGATACTTAAGTTGATAAAATGTGTTATAATAAAGATAGACAAAACTCAATTCATTTGAATCACTGTTAGTTTGACCTTAAACTATCGATTCAACACTTCACTTTCCACTTGATTGAACACTTCACTATTATTTTACTGACCTACTATCATGATTATGTTCCGGTCGCACTTATGGATACACTCACATATAATAAATGAACCCCAATATTACCATTCATAATGTTGTTAAGAGTGTTTGTTCTATTGGTTTAATGATTACAAAATACTATTGTTTGATATGGTTTTTGCTTGTTATGATTTTTAAAATGGTCATTAAATTAAACTGACTGTTTTTAGCTTAATTAGTACTTGTAGGTTATGAGCTATTTTTTATGGTCTGTAATTCTTAGTCTAAGATACGTATATATCTGGCTTTCTTTAAGTTGAACAACACACCAAAGAATGTAAAATACGTCTTTTGTGCTTCAGTGTTGTAGATATATTCCTGAGCGAGTACTTGAGTATCGCTCGATAAAGTCAACGAGTACTCGATAAGTAATTGTTCACCGAGTTGACATCCCTAATAAATATACAGCAAACATTTTCTGTTGACAACAAGGTTTAGTTTGTAAATTTCCCCTTTTAAAAGTTTGCTTTTAATTTCCCCTTTATTAGTATCCATCGCGTATGTTATTTCCTTTAAATACTATTCATTTTCGTATGATGTTTTCCCCTTGATGCTAATCATTTTCCCCTTATAACTATTTATTTTCAAAACTTATTTCCCCTAAACACTAGAACTGAGAATGGAAATGGGAAATATGGCAAAGAGACAACAACCCGACCAAAGAGCAGACAACAGCCGAAGTCCAACTTTTAGTTTTTACATTTTAGTTTGTCGTTTCCCCATTACTACTATTCATATTTGTATTAAATTTTCCCATATCACTATATTTTTTTGGTATGTTAGATCCCTATATTATTATTACTTTTTGTTCATTAGTTTCCTCTTAATACTTTTTTCGTTTGTTTGTTCTAACTCTCTCATTAGTAAGATTTTTTTGTTATTTTCTCTTCTTTACAATTCATTTTTGCATGTTATTTCCACTTATTACGTTTCGTTTTTGCAAGGTTATATCCATTATTGTTATTTATTTTGTATGTTATTTTCTCTTGAAACTATTCAATTTTGTATGTTATTTTCCCCTTGATACTAGTTATTTCCCCTTATTACTATTTATTTTTGTATATAATTTTCTTTTAACAGTATTCCTTTTAGTTTGTTTTCCCCCTTTATTACTATGCTTATTTGTATGTTATTTTCCCCTAATACTATTTTATTTTGGTATGTTAGTTCTCTTTATTGCTATTATTTATTGTTCGTTAGTGTCCTCTTATTATTATTTCTTTTTGTTTGCTATTTCTACTTCATTACAATTCATTTTTTTATGTTATTTCCCCCAAATTACTTTTCGTTTTTGTATGTTAATAATATTTTCATAATACTAGTATTCATTTTTGTTTTATCATTCCCCTTTTATACTTTTCATTTTGTTTGTTATTATTACCTTATTGCTATTCATTTATGTATATTCTTTTTCATTTTGAATAAATAAATGTTTGTTATTTTTACTTTTTAACTATTATTTATTTTTGAATACTATTTTCTTCTTGATTCTATTTATTTTCATATGTTATTTTCTTGCTCATATTTTTGATTTGTGTATGTAATTTTTTCCTTGATAATATTCTTATCCAACAATATTAAATTCCTTATTACACCATCTTTAAAAAAAATCGTTTACCTTCCTTACGTGTTTTCAATTTTTATAACTCATCCAAACCAATGGCATTTCAATGAGCAACCGATTAAAAGAAACTGTTGTTTTTAGATAGTTTAAGAACGGCATGTATATCGACTTAAACTAATAGCTTCGCATCATAATGTGAAGCAATAAATCATTCCAGTATCGGATAAAATTTCAAAACAAAAAACTAGTACAAATTGTAAACAAAAATGCATTACAAAAATAGAATCGGCCTTGCATTCAACAAAAAAATAAAACAACAACGGAGCACAATCGTCTTTAACCTTTCCGATTATGGTGTACCAAACAAAAAATTACAAACATCAATTGCCTACCAAATGATATATCTTAATTTTTTGGCGTCATCATATCAAAGCTCTTATTGTCAACATGTTTATTTTTTTACCTGCCTACTGTTATAAACTTATTGCGTGAGATTGGCACTGGTCTCCACGTCCAAAAGTCTAGGCATTTATAAATCCTGACCTGACGAATGTTCTGTATACCGACGGGTATCAATCTGATTTTTTGATTTTTTTCTTCAAATTTCAGAATGTCAGCAACGACTGCAAATATTCCGATGTCCTCCCAATTTATACCACAAGTAGTGGGAATCCAACAAGCTCTACCAGTCGGACACCAGCAACAAGCATTTCCAGTGAGGACATTTAAGGTGTTTGGTGGTGTACAGATAGGTCTTGGAGTTCTTCTCGGGATTCTTAGTCTAATTGGAATGATTTCGAATAAAAGTCGATATTATAATGTCCACGCACCTATTGCATTTGACATTACTTGTCTAATATGTTCTGGATGGGTAAGTGAATAGTTTTAAGCTGGATTATAACTTTTCTTAAGAAAAACTGTGCTGGAACTATACAATTGTAGAACGATTTATATGAATACATATCGACAGGTTGTAGGTATTCCAATGGGTACCAATTGTGCCCCTTTTATACCAAATTTATTCATATACTGTTATGAATCACAGTCAAGGGCCAAACTCAATAAAGAACCATTTGATTGATAAATTCAACAACACTTACCATTATCTTGATGATATATTTTTCGTTAAATAATCACGAATTTTCTAAACATACTGCTGAAATTTACCAAAAGGAACTAACTTTAGATAAATCAAATGTTAACAGCAATAACTGTCCTTTCCTAGATTTAGATATTTTTGAGTGTTACACCAGAAACTCTACACAAAAATTTAAGAGAAAAGGGATGATTTTTTCCCCTATCGTTAATTTTCCTTTTTGAATGGTGATGTTCTTTTGGCACCGTCTAACAGTGTTTATATATCCCAACTCGTTCGCTATCTCCGTGTCTTTAGTGACGTGTTGGATTTCAATGAGCGTAATCTATGTGTTACTAGTAAATTATTAAGTCAGGGATTTCGTTACCACAAATTACCTTAAACCTTTATTCAATTCTTCAATAGGTACAACGATTTGGTTTGCAAGTTTGTCTGTACCTGTAGAAAACTTATTTCAAATGGAATAGTGCATCTTTAATTTTACGGTGATGTTGTTAACCGAGTCCGGAAATTTAGATACTATCGGAGTAAACTTTTAAATAAACTAATTATAAAAGGTTACCAATTCAACACTGTAATTAAATCTTTGAATATTGCTTTTATTGGTATAAATATTGATTTTGTTATCAGTATATTAAAACCATACTAAATATTATTATTATACACATATGTACTTTCACGGTACTACAATCTGTCAATACTTTTGTTTTGGCATTGCACAAGGTCATGTTTATGACTGTCATTGACGTCTTTACACTTAATCCATTGGATTTTGGATGTGTACTGATTGATATTTTAGTATTCGATACATGATTTTTTTTATTAGTTGTTAATGGCTTTGAACTAGCTGTCAGTAACTGCGAGTACTCTCAGATCTGTACTTAGTCTCTTTTTGTTGTTGGGATATACAAGTACCCGGCCACGTCCACTCTGTGTTTTTGTTAGATGTATTTATATTTGTATCCATCTGATGAGTTAAGCCTTTTTCAACTGATTTTTACAGTTCGTTCTTATGTTGTACTGCTACACTATTTTCCCAGGTTAGGGGAGGGTTGGGATCCCGCTAACATGTTTAACCCCGCCAAATTCTGTATGTATGTGCCTGTACCAAGTCAGTAGCCTGTAATTCAGTGGTTGTCGTTTGTTGATGTGTTACATGTTTCATTTTTTTGCATAAATTAGGCCGTTAGTTTTCTCGTTTGAATTGTTTTACATTTGTCTTTTCGGGGCCTTTTATAGCTGACTATGCGGTATGGGCTTTGCTCATTGTTGAAGGCCGTACGCTGACCTATAGTTGTTAATATCTTTGTCATTTTGTCTCTTGTTGAGAGTTGTCTCATTGGCAATCATACCACATCTTCTTTTTTATATGTGACCTATAATTGTTTAATTTTTACACATTGTGACTTGGATGGGTAGCTGTCTCATTGACACTCATACCACATCTTCTTATTTGTATCAACTCCGCCACATTCCAAAGTTAGGAGCCTTCAGTTCAGTCAGGTTGTCGTTAGTTAATATCGTCATATTTGTTTTTAGTAAATTGTTTTTTTTTTTATTATTTAGCCGTTAGTTTTCTCAATTGAATTGGTTCATATTTTTCATGTCGGGGCCTTTTATAGCCGACTATACGGTATGGGGTGTTCTCATTGTTGAAGGCCGTATGGTTGCTTATACTTGCTTACATTTATTTCTTTTTAACTTTGTAGGATAGTTGTCTCATCGTCAATCATACCACATCTCCTTATTTTTATATACTAGTACAAACTCCTGTAAAAAAAGCATTGAGTGTTTGTCCAATTATTTAATCTTACAACCCCCTCCACCCCAATACCAGAGAGAGAGAGAGAGAGAGAGAGAGAGAGAGAGAGAGAGAGAGAGAGAGAGAGAGAGAGAGAAGGGAAAACAGTGTTATGTCCAAGGAACAAATTTTTATGCAAACAAATCGATTTTTTTTCACTTCCAGCGTTCGTTACTTGAAAAACATACAAGCCTAACAATGGCCAGAGGCTCCAGACTTGGAACTGGCGCAAAAAGGCGGCGGGGTTAAACATGTATGGTGAATTCTCAACCCTCCCCTATACCGCTAGCCAATGTAGAATAAACTAACACACAACAATGCATTACAATGTTATATTCCTGTCCAACTCGCTTGTCAAAGGTTGTTTTTTTGTTTAAATTTTCCATCGTCGGCTATTGAAAAATTGATAAGAATCACGGATCAAAGACGGACCAACTATGCCCTTTGTCCGTTTTCCTACGATAATAGCTACAGACAAATGCATGGTTCAGATGACTGGATAATAATAAGCCCAAAAGTGACAAATATGCGTGCAGCACAAATCAATAGACATTTGTTTAATTTGGTTTTACCCCCTTACTTACAAGTTTATATTTTAATGCAACTGCATTGTTTCAGTGTTTTGATTTAATTTGCTTAGATTTGTAAAATTTATAGATTTTGTAATTAAAAACAATAAATATCATAAACAGAACAGTCTGCCTCATTGTACTTTAATTGATAAATGATCGTTTTTTTTTCTTTTTCCCCCTGCAACAGTGCTAGATTTTTATTTGGCATTTCATGAAAATAAAGTAAAAAAAATAATTGTGTAACTGTGAATGATAATTTAAGACATAAACTGAGACATCTGTAATGATATTCTATGGCATGAAGTATAATTGGAATCGAATACAAAAAAAGATGCAATTGGTAAAAAAAAACAACCTTATAGCGCTGATGATTCTGATGTAGTGTGAGTCATATATTTGAGCCCATTTATCTCTCATTCATATTACAATGCTAAAAAAGGAGCCTTGCAAAAAAAAAAAAAAAAAAAAAATAACCAAAACATCCATGATGCACCGTTTGTTTTGTTAAAATTTTAAGAATTTGGTTAAACATGAATAAATTTCAATTTTTGTAATTGTAGTATGTTTTTACTGGTTGTCTGCCTATGCGTATGTCAAAGAAGAGAGAAGCGAGATGGATATGTCTGGTAGGCTTTAATTTAAGTAAGACCAATGATTCACTCACCTTAAAAAGAAAATAACCCAAACAAACATATTTTACATTTATAGTTGAAAAACACAAACTATAAGAATCGAATATAAAGCAGTAATTGACTCTGCTTTATTGGAATTCTACGGCTACATGCATGTTTGAATTTCTGATATTGTTTATTTGTTTGGATATAGAGTAAGTTTGTTAGTAACAAGAAGGAAACACATAATGTAAATCCATTTTAATTAAATAACATTTTGATTTTATGTACATTGTACAAAGTATAATTATATTATTTCAATGTTTTTTTTCTATTCAGAAAACTGGATTTATGGTGTGTAGCATAATTGGAGCGTCAATTTTCATTCCAGCTATGTTAAGTCTTGGTGTGGTTGGTTCACTTACAGTAAGTAATATTGTTGATGATCAATAACAAAAAAAATGTCGAATAGATAATCATATGGCACATCATTGATATCAATGTTGATACGCGTCAAAATATCAAACTTGAATGCTAGCATTAAAAACCTGACCATAAATGCTTTGCTGTTCTGTCGGGCAAAGTTCACTTGATACGATTTTGCTTCCGAACGTTCTGTATATTTTTCTTTACCAAACTGTTATGTATTAGAGAAAAGGATAGAAATAAAAATAAATTGTTGCGTATGATTGGAAAGGATAAGACATGTTTACTCGGAATTGCTTTTTTACATTTTTTATTGATCGTTTAATTTAAATGATCATTCTTTGAATTTAATTTGATTTTGAAAATTCTTAGTTCTAATGGATAATAAACAAAATAACCCTTTTAGTTATCTAACATGTGTTATCATTTGGCAATGCTTTGTGCTGCTTGCGATTGATTGTTAGGTGGTGAGTCTCATTTATATTTTGAAAACAGGGTTTTGCCACAAATTCAAAGAAATATGTTCGACGCAATAAAAAGGACGATTATTGAAAACTTATAACAAACATTTTAAAACCCTGCATTTATTTGAACAGATAACGTTTTAACTGAATTTGAAATAAAGTGATATTCAATTTATAATAAAAACCTGATACAATTTTCCGTTTGTGAAATTTTTCATACTATATATACGTCTAATCATGTAATAACTTTACCAGAGACACAACTTATTACATGTATGGCGTCTTAGATTCAGGACAATAATAAATCTATCATAGATACACAGTACAAAATCTGGAAATTAGCGGTCGCAAATGTTTTTTTCCCTTCAGCTAGCTTTCAAGTCATGCTTCTGTTACATCGCGGCAACTATCAAATGCACTGTGTCGAACGACCATGATCACTCAGCAATCTAGGCAATATGTAGTACAGCTTTTGTCAGTCGAGTGATGTCTTTCTCTAGTCTGATTCATCAAGACTGGTAATTATACAGTTGTATTGTGACATGTAGCGGTATGTTTAACATTACCATATAAGCGGGAGGTTTGGATAGCCATAAAACCAGGTTCAACACACCATGTTTTCTTAAAATGTCCTGTTCCAAGTCAGGAATATGGCAGTTGTTATTAAGTAGTCCGTATCTCTGTATTTTGACGTTTGGTTTTGTTGCAGTTCAGTGTTTCTGTTGTTCCGTGTTTTCCTCTAATAGTTGATGTGTTTCCCTCGGTTTTTGTTTGTGACCCGGATTTGTTTTCGCTTAATCGATTTATGACTATTGAACAGCGGTATACTAATATTTCCTATATGTAGATGGAATAATGGTCAGGTCAGTCGTAAAGAATGATAAAACTCATTGACCATCGAAACTATATTTTATATAGTCTTGTTTGCCGAATGGTCAAGCGCTTGACATAGTCCATGTATTGGTGCCAAGATTTGTTTGAATAACACTGATAAATATACCACAACAAAATGCAGATGTAACAGTTTGGTGGTGAATTTAAGTCGAAAGAATTTTATATATATATAATACATTTTTTTGTCAGTTTTGCTTTGTTTGTTTGCTTTATGTCAACACTTTACAGTTTTATGTTTATTTCAGAGACGAAATAAAGATTCGAAAGCTGTAATTCTGTCAGTTTTCATGGCTGTGTTGTTCTTTGCAGAAGTGGTAGTCGCAATTATTGCCTCTTCATTCTGTTGTTGCTGCTCAACATGGAGGACATCAATTCAGGAGGTAAGCAAATGTTGCACCAAAACATGAACACTCTCCCTCCCAAACTGAACCTAAATGTGTCACAATAGAGGACTATGAGGGTCAAAGGATTTGATGTTTAGATGTTGTAACCAATACTGAGGTCGACAACTCAGTGTTATATAAGTTTGGATGTGCATAAGTAACAACTGTAAATGTGAGTTGTCTGCTTAAAGTATCAATGCATTTTTAAGGGAGGTCATCGAACGGTCCATATTCTAACAAATATTACTGTTATACTGGACTGTTAATATAATCCAACATAACAGCAAGATTTTATTGATACCGTGATACGACATATGCTAGTATTTAAAACAGTATTAATGTGTCAGTTGTTATTCCTCTAGGTTGCACCCATATTCTCTCTAACTTTGGACATTAACTCTAAATACAAAGATGAATTGGAACTCAAAATAATTTTCTTACAATTGGCACACAGAAAGTTTTGGTTGCCTCTACCGAGTCACGGCTTAAACAGACATAGTGTCAATATACATGGCCATTGTGCATTATAATATACATCGAGCTTTAGTATGTTTACCTATTCTTTACCTCAACTCAGGGAGGAGGATTCTTATCTACTTACATATAGTATCATATTAACTTGTATGAAAATTGTTTTTGTTTATCTAGAAAGTTTGATCACTGTTTCTTTAGATAAAACAAAGCATTAATTGGATCTACATATACTTGCGTTTTCATTTCTCGATAGGGAGTTGTTAGTAGCACACAACCTGAAATGTTTCTTAACCTACCACAGACTCAGATTCCTATGGCAAACGGTCAGCAGGTCATGATAGCTACAGGACAAACAGCTAACCCAATAGTGCAGTATTCCAGAGGGCAACAGTATCAAGAAATGACTACAACTCAACCGGCAGAACAACAGGTTCAAGCTGTTAGTGGTATACAACCAGAACCGAACAGTGGACAGGATTTTGATACCAATCCGCCATCCTACAAAGAATAAAGGATATATAACCATTCCTTATATGCGATTGTGTTTGTTTGTTGTAAAAATTAAAGACAATAAATCTGAAATGTTTTAGCTTTAAAATTAAAGATTAAAAACTTATAAAAGTGTTTATCTTCAAAAACAAATATTTAAGTATCATGGAAGACAATTATTATGACTTTCCAGTTAGGAAATGCATCTCTTACAAGATCTATTTATATAAGAATATCAGATTTTATAATGACTTATTTGCTATAACTTTAGTCACATGCAATATACCCAATCATTTAAAGAATATGAAAATTGAAAGATATGACAAGAATTAGTGAGGTTCAATCTCTTTTTATTTAATTCTATAAATATATTTTTATACAATGGTCAAATTACGAACAGGTCTAAAGTGACCACCTCCAACTGTCTATATTCTTAACGTGAAGAGGTACAAGAACTGGCGCCTTTAATAGTTGATTTAAAAATGAGTCTTGTTCTAATCATTTAACAGCTAGCATTGTACCAAAATGGTATGGCAAGGTTAAAACTTTTTAATACAAATAACATCTTTATCAGAAGCATACTTAAACACTAATTTGTTTTTATTTTTGAATATTGAATTTCCTTACGATTGACAGCTTTCAGAAAAAAAACTAACGTGCATGCTAGAATGGTACAACATTTGTTTTCAATTTTATTGTTTACATTGACAAAAAAACCCTAAAATGTCCTAACTACTCACACTAATAACCTAAACTGGTGTAAATGATTGATGCTAGGTTTTGTTCCCTTTTTCAATTGAATCACCTTGTATAAACCTTAGAATTTGATAAAGTTATTTCAAAATACTCATTGTTTGTTGATGTCATTTATATGTTGAATACATTTAGCGTCCTTTAAGTCTGGAATAAAGTCAATATGATTGTCACTTTTATATCCATCATGCAAAACCAATTTTAAAAATCTAACAATATGAGATGCATTTATACTGCAACTAGTTGTGTTTATTTCTTAAATATAGTAACACATCTTTTTATTGTGCAATGTCAATTTGATCATGAAACAATTTTTTCCACAATCAGGGGTTCATTAAGTAATGAAAATAATTTTTAAATTTGTGTAACGATTCAAATAGCTATCAAGTTTTAGTATAAAAAACAGTCGATTCGGTACAAAACTGGGGAAGGGCTCTGTAACACCTCGCCCATCTCCTGTTTCTCAGCTTGATACACAAAAGTTTGTATTTAACTGACATTGACCTAATATTGTATATTGATAAATAAGACAAATTTGCACAACAATAACAACAAAGCTGTAGAACTAAATTGAAAATACCTATTCCGCTACTCCTAAAAATATCAAAACTGATAAAAGACAAAGTTTATTTAAGCAGACGATATGCAGTCGTAAATGTCATGATCTAGTTTTTAAATCTCAAATTGTTACTTAGAAAGATGGATGGAAAAGACAAACAATAGTCCACAAAACACAATACAATAACGTAATGTAACGTAAAGTAAAACATAAATGTCAGACTGTTAAAAACGAACATCAATACAATATATAATAGCATAGATTTATCAAATTATCAATGTGCCCCGATGCAATCAGAATAGTTACAATTTAAAAATCAAGATACAAGATAAAACATAAAATACTTGACATGATTTGACATGATTTTGATGATTGAATAGATAAACATACAACTGGATGTGATATACTGTAATTTAAAACAAAAACAAACCCAACAAAATGATATCATACAAAATGATATGTGATATGATGGCAAGTAAGACAACCATCACACAAAGGCTGAACCACGTTCTTTAAAATAAGTGCGAAATCTTATCGTGTAATTAGCTGTACAGACCCCTAGGATAAGAAAATGTAAACCGATTTAAACAAGAAAAACAACGACAACGGCATAAACAATTAAAAATTGAACAGTTGTTCATCAAAATGGACGACAATGACAACCACTGGCATACAAGTACATTCATTTTTTTTGGGGATAATAAATATAAGAAAAAGGCTTTTTCTAATAAATATGGAATATTGAGCTACGATATTGATAATGAGAATAACATCAAATTGAATACAGTCAATGAAATTAAAAAAAAACCGAACAAAAAAACACCACCCTTAAAAAGTATAAGACAGAAAAGGGGTCAAAATCTATGAATGAATAATTTGAGATTACCTCCAAAACCTTCTGCAAAAACAATCGTTCATTCCGATCGAATTAATATTTCAATGGATTTTACATCAGACAGAAGAAAGAAACTTTGTACTTGAAGATCGTAACACCTACTAAATTATTGTAACTTTTACCAATTTTTACAAATTTATGTTACTTGAATAAATGGAAAGTGTTGTCTAAGCTTATATTACTTATGAATAATACAAAGGTATAGTAACCACGATTGTCTTAATGGGGACTTCCTTATTATTAAGTAAATACATTCGTGCATTGGAAATACTGGCATCCAAGTAATGGTGTTGTTGGCGTAAGTGGTGATAAGGGTTACCGATTTCTTTTTTCGGTTTACATGTACAGAATTAGGAATGAGACTAGCATGTCTTTTTTTTAAGTTCTATGAACAGATTAAAAAAGGATTAAGAAGGTCTTTCCTAAGAAATACCTATTCAATTGAAACTTTAGCCTTCCACATAAAAATGAATTCATTTCAGATCAAGATGCCATGATGAGATTGTAAAATTATTTAAACTGCAAACTGCAGCGCTAGATAACATTTCATATTTACGCATTTCATACAGATTCTTTGATATTCAAATTCCATATTTCTTTAAGCGCGTTTCGCCCTTCATATTACAAATGTGCGCTCGATCAATGACCTATAACGTTATAAAAAGAAGCATTTATTTCTTATAATTTCATTTTTATTCTACAGCTATGAAAATTAGTTGTAATCAAGTCTTTCAATGTACTATTTCAAAATTGTCATGGATAGCAAGAGCAGTGTCGTAGCTGTTGTATTTTATGCGGAAATAAAATATGATATTGAAGTACCTCTTGATTGGTGTCAGCCAATCAAATTACGGATTCTAATGAAACAGACATATAATTTAATTACTAAAATATAAGTACCCAGTTAAAAAAAGTCAAAGTAGATTTATTTTATTGATTAACTGAGGAAGTATTTCATCTGGCAAAACTTATCAGTGTTATTATTTACAGTCATTGTTTTCATTCAATAAAGTGCATCGTACAACACAGACCGAAAAGGTTGGTAAAATATGATCATTTCACTGTTGAAAAGAAAGTGCATGGTAGTTTAGTGCACATAATCTTTTTAGCCTGGTGAAACATAATTTTGTAAACTTAATAGTCATACCTACTATACGACTATATCATTCATCATTCGTTACAAAAAGGTGTTAACTTTAATATTAATTTGGTCATCAATGAAAAAATGGTGCAGTTTTCAGGAATAAAGATCAAATGTCACCAACGATTTTCCACAAAAAATATTTGATCATCTAATATCAAGTTGAATATCTTTTTTCTTTAAAAAAAATTAACACAATCTTAAAATGTTTTTCTAGACAAAACGTACGTGAATTTACAAATAAGGCGGATGATTTAAATGTGTTATTTTTTCTCAAAATTACAGTTCAACGGCATTCAAAACTACACAAAATGTATTGAAAATGTGAAAAAAAAGATATTTTTGTCAATTTAACTATATATTCAATATATCAATGAAAGTGTAAAATTTGAGTTTTGAGCATTTGGTTTGAATTTGATACATAACAAACTAGCAACAAAACCCGTTTGAAAGCTGACTCATATTTAGAATTTAAAAAATGTCATAATTTTTGGTATGAAAGAAATGCATTATTAGGGGCATGAATCAGTATAAGAAAGACTAACAACTAAAGGGCATTTTCATAGTACATACTTTTTTTAGTACTAAGTTACTATACACGAATGACCACAAGGATTAGATTTCATTATATCGTAATTAAAATATTAAAAAATTTGCCACCAGGTATTTTGGGATATTTTTATTCATCCTGCTAATAAAATCTTTGCAAGTTTTGAAAATTTCGATCATTTCAATTAAGAATAACAAATATGGTACTCAATACTTTTATAAGAGTAAACACAAGCTTGTAATTGTGGTAATTTATCATCTATGCAATTACTTTACACACAAAAAAAAAAAAAGAAATGGATGTACTATGAAACCTTGTGTAGGAAAATTTTGCAACTTGATGATGTTTTATTTTAACTTTCTGAAGGAACTTGCTCTATTTCAACATGAATTCAAAAGCTGTGATAACGTCTGCAGGGATTGTGCCACATATATTCTGATTAAGCTTTTAGTTTTTATTTAAAAATAAAAACAACCCAAAAAACCCATAATCTTTGATCTATTAGTAGTTGTTTTTTAATGCTAGACTATCTATGAGCACATGTTTCTATATTTTCATATTTATTATATACAATACAGTTTAACTGAATATTGAAAAATCTTTTCATACCACGAGAATCTTCCGCTGCAATTTATTTATATATAAAAGTTTTTGATCAATTCACTTTATCATCTACGCAGTAGTAAGACAGCTACCATCGTTTCATTCTGGAGACAAGGGCATTTTATAATCTCTTGTTTTATGTTAGATTGAAATATACATCGCTATTCGTATTTGATGCATTTATAAACTTAGGATTTAGTAAATCATTGTCACTAAGTAGATTTACACAACATGAAACTTAGTCAATGAACTTTTTTTATAAATACATGTCATACAAGTAGTCAACCAAAAAAAAAAACAATCAATAGACCAATTAAAAGATACTCAAGTTGTAAATATGTGCTAAATTTGATAGTCTATGAAAAGGTATATACTATGAAAATAAATGCTCGATTTGTTTGAGCTTTTGATTTTGCCATTTGAATAGTGACTGTTTGTTTTGATCTTCATAGGAGTTTGGTATTTTTGTGATTTTACGTATGACTGATAACCGAAACTTTATTGATGATTTGCAAAACGGGAACTGATATAAAAACACTAACAGGCTTGTTATTAATTATCAAACCATTGCCGCTACTAAGGCTATTAATTTACCGTGTTTTTGTTTCTAGAATCAACGCTGCCAAAATCTGTCGCTACAATGTACTCACCATATCATATTCAATTAGTTTCTATGTGTGCATAATTTCATTAATTTGAACTGGTTAATTAACTGATTTCTGTTCACTAAAAGATCTGATTTAAACAATTACTTCAAACTTCTTTTGTAATCTATCTATGCACTTTTGTTTCAGATAAGGGTGAAGGTTTGGTACTATTTAAACGTTTAAACCCGCTGCAATTGTTTGCACCTGTCCTACGTCAGGAATCTGATGTTCAGTAGTTGTCATTTGATGATGTGGTTCATAAGTGTTTCTCGTTTCTCGTTTTTTATATAGATGAGACCGTTGGTTTTCCCGTTTGAATGGTTTTACACAAGTTATTTTTTGGGGCCCTTTATAGCTTGCTTTTCGGTGTGAGCCAAGGCTCCGTGTTGAAGACTGTACTTTGACCTATATTGGTTTACTTTTATAAATTTTGACTTGGATGGAGAGTTGTCACATTGGCACTCATATCACATCTTCTTATATCTCTTCAATGGGAATGAAACCCTTCATTCAGGCTGTAACGAATGACTGACATTAGCACACAGACGACACTTCTCGGGTACCAATAGTTTGCAATTAAGATGACAAAGTTAATTATATATCAATGAACATATGTTACACCGGTATAGAGAACACACAGGGCTTGGCCTGATATATATATATATATATAAACATAATAGACAATCGTGTAGTATAAG